ATCATACTCTAAATTACGAGGTCTTAGAAGTCTTTGATTGATTATGCTCTTCAAACATGAACAAAATTCTACAAATATGAAAATAGAAACAAATCAGAAGCTGAGTTTTTCAAGCTCATTGATACACAACTAACCTTGTGACACCTTGAATTTTGGGTTAACAACCTCGGGTTGACCGAGTGGGCTTTGGGCGAATAAATTAAGCTATTAGAGAACATTGGGCCAAGTATGAGCTTGATTAGGTTGGAATTGACTCCAAACATCTAAAAAATAGTATTTTAAGGGTAAAGTTTATAATTGGTCACTTAACTTTTTAGGTGCATGCATTTAGGTCCTTCAACTTTTAAAACTTGTAACACATTCATCAAACATTTAGTTCGTTTTGTAATGTGGTGCCCGACATAACTGACGTTTCACTGCCGTTAGAAGAAGATGACATGGCATGTGAGGAAACCATTTACAGCCGAATAAAACCTCAATTGAATCAATCTAAAAACAACAAACCTTATTTTGTTCCCCAAATTGAAACCTTAAACCCTAAAAACAAAATTCATCTTCTTCTCTTTGTTTGGTCAACAATTGCAAGCAATGGATGCACCACAAAATGCAATCCCAACTTGTTTTTGTGGAATGTCAACTAGTTTATGCACAACTTGGATGAATAAAAATGCTGGAAAAAGATTCTTTGGATGTGTTAATTATGGGCATTCTAGAAGAAATTGTAATTTTTTTTGTTTAGTATGATCCCCCATTAAATCCACATTCTCGTACTGTTATCGTTGATTTGCTAAGAAATATGAGAACCATGGAGATATGAAGAAGGTTTGAGCGAGTGATTTGGGTTGTTTGTTTGGGGATTTTGTTGTTGTTGATTATGTTGGGTTATTTGGTGGGGAATTTAGCATTTAGGGTTATCTTTTGAGGGTTTAGGGTTGGTACTTCAAGTTCAATTTGATACGACATATTTTGAGAATGGATTATGAATTTGGGGTTGAGTATGTAATTAAAGTATTTTGGAATTTAGGGTTTAGAATATAATTGAAGTATTTTATAATTTGGGGTTTAGAATATAATTGATGAATGTGTTGCAAGTTTTAAAAGTTGGGGGACCTAAATGCAAGCATCTGAAAAGTTTAGTTAGCATTTATATACTTTACCCTAATTTTTTATAGCTACAAACAGTTTCCTCACGTGCCACATCGTTTTCTTCTAACGGTAGTGAAACAACCAGTTACGTCGAGGACCACATTGCAAACGAACTAAATGTTTGATGATCGTGTTACAAGTTTTAAAAGTTAAGGGACCTAAATGCAAGCGCCTGAAAAGTTCATCGACCATTTATATACTTTACTCTATTTTTAAAGTGAGTGCAAAGGAGAGAGGACCAAAGAAGCAATTATACCCTTGAAAGTTTTAAAGGTTGAATCTCACTAATGTATAGCGATGTCATTGCAAGAAAATTAGAGGGGAAGTTGAGATTTTTTTCTTATTTTCACCACTCTTATCTTCTTCTTCTTCTTCATCTCATATCTCCTCATTCTCTTTTTGGTGGCTTAAAGAAAGGAAACACCTTTATTGTCTACATTTCATTATTTCAATTTACAAAGGTAAAAAGAGTGATTAGCACCTCAAAAGCTTTCATTCATGTTCTCTTTCTCAAGGTTTGGCCTTGATGACCATGGTGGGGGTTCTAGTGGAGTTTTAAGTTTTAGCACCTAGGGATGATTCTAGTCAATTTCTAATAGTTAGAATTCATGTTCCTACTTTTTTTACATCCTTAGACGAATGAGTAACTCATTCATTATTATAAGCGTCATCTTAATCATTCAATGCGACATCAAATCCAACTTTGAAAAAATTAAACAAAAAAATAGTTAAACGATAAAAAACGTACCATAAAGACATAAAAAAACATATCATAAAAACATAATTGTTAGAAAATAAAAATAAAAATACAATATAAGAAAATAAATGAAAAACAATGAATACAAGTAATCTACGACAAACACTAAGGTTGGTGTCACCACTTATAAAATAAAATGAAAAAGAAAAGAGAAACGACAACCTTCAGGATTTAAAAAAAAAAACCGTATGTTTCAATTTTACTGATAAAATGATATATTTATAATAATATTTTAATTGGTTGACTTATCCATAAGTTTTATTTTGTAAATGACATTTGTTATCAAACCTATAATTAAGAAGAATATTAGAATTGGTAACATCCCATGTTCAGGCCCAATCCCCGGTTTGAAAGTCTGTTGCAGAAAGCATTCAAAAGAAAGAAAGAAAAAAAGGCGCGACTCTCTCAAATCTTTCAATTATTTATTTCTTCTTCACCATTGCCTCCACCTCTACTCTCTCATTTCTGATTCTAAATATATAGTATTAAAATTTTAATTTTGATTTTCTTTTTAAAAAGTGAAAGAATTAGTACTCACAAATTAACTACATTTACCGCAAATTCAGCATTTCTTCTATTATCCTATTTTCTTGTCCAATCCCATCCACTCTTCCATCTCTCTCTCTCCTTTCTCTCTATCTTCATTTTCTATACTTCGGGTGTTGAAGTTTGGTTCTCAAAATTCTAGGGTTAGGCTTTATTTTTCAGAGATGGGGCAGCAGACCTTGATCTACAGCTTTGTGGCTCGTGGCACGGTTATCCTCGCTGAATACACTGAGTTCACCGGTAACTTCACGACCATTGCCGGTCAATGTCTCCAGAAGCTCCCCACTTCCAACAACAAGTTCACCTACAATTGTGATGGCCACACCTTCAATTTCTTTGTTGAAAATGAATTCAGTAAGAATCTTTATTTCCCTTCTTTTTTTTCTTCATTCTGTTTTTCCGTTTAAGTATTTGTTACAATTTGCTTCGTGTTATCTGATTGGATTTGGCATCCCCCTTCAAATTGGTGTGATTATTGTAATCTCTATTTTTTTGATTGATTATTTAGTGATTCAAATATGAATATCGACATGCGTTCTTGTTATTGCCACTTTTTAGATTTGGTCTTTATTTTGTTGTTTTTCATTTCACTTTTTGGATTCTCTTTTTACGAGCTTTCAATGTTGATTTCCTTAATTTTCAAGCATTTTATTTGTAATTTTTGCTTATTCGTCAATTATGACAATAGAGTGTAATGATCATAACGTAATTACAATTATATTCATAATTTAAAATTATAATTATATTCATAAATTAAAATTATAATTATTTTTTAAAAAAGTAAATCACATCATAATATCCATCCACATTCGCAATCATATCACTACAAACGTATTCACAATCATGATTGGCTCATTTGCATCTTTTTATACAACTTTAATTCAGCGGTGGAGGTAGGTTTTGTTCAAGGTCAATACATAAATTCAATTTTTTTTTATAGTAATAGTTCATTTTATTGAAAGTGTCAATCTTAAAATTTTATTTATATCTCCTTCATACGAGAAATTTATGTTATTAATATACATGTGTTCACATTTAAAAATATTTTTAGATCCGTTACTACTTTAATTATATGTTTTGTCATGTTCATCTTTTCCATCAAGGGTTACACCGTTCAATCGTACCTCTTGATTAGGCATATCCAGGTCACTGTCTCATTTACAATTGTGGGTGCATGTGCATGAAAATGCGAATGTATTGATTTTAGTTTTAAACCTGGCGATTAATGCAAAGGAAAAGGGAGATACAATTTTCCTTTTCCAAACGTAGTGGTTTTAATAATTGATCTGGATGCTGACTTGTGGTTTCAATTTTTGAACGTTCCTTGAATACGAAATTAATCAAGAAATGATTGCTTATTTTCATACTCGATTTGTTCTAATTCATTTGGTGGTGCAGCCTACTGTGTGGTTGCAGTTGAATCTGTAGGCAGGCAAATTCCAATTGCATTTCTGGAAAGAGTTAAAGAAGACTTCAGCAGGAGATATGGTGGTGGGAAGGCTGCAAATGCTACTACCAAGAGCCTGAATAAAGAATTTAGGTATTCCCACTATGTTTATTCTCTTACAAATATCCTTTATACTTATCAATGGCATATTGGAATGGATTGAGTGGGAGTCAGAGGCAGTTGGTCCCTTAAAAATTTTAAATTTTCATATATTTTAGATATTTTCTTTGTATTTTCTATTAATAATATGTTTTCGCTCCCTAGAATTTTCTATTAACATAAAATCATTCATCCGTCCCTGGTGACATAGTTAACCCTTTGTACATGATAGGCCCAAACTGAAGGAGCACATGAAGTATTGTATGGAACATCCAGAGGAAATCAGCAAACTTGCTAAAGTGAAGGCTCAAGTTTCTGAAGTCAAGGGTGTTATGATGGAGAATATTGAGAAGGTAATAAGCTTCTGACTCTGCAGGATGTTCATGTTAAACTATGGGAAAATGCATAGCAAGTTGTCACAATTTGCAAGGGTTATGAAAATTGAACGATACATTCAGAGATATTGCTTGTGCCCTTATAGTTCTCTTTCCTTTCTAACATTTGTCTTTTGTCAGGTCCTTGACCGTGGTGAGAAGATTGAGTTGCTGGTGGATAAAACTGAAAGCCTTCGCTCACAGGTTACATTTTGGCAAAGCTGTTTCCTTTATCAAATTATTATAGTTCTCATCATTCTATATTTCCAATATAAATTTTTGGCATAATGTTAAAAAATATCCCTAATATTTAACTAAATAATCATTTTGGTCCATGTTCTTTTGTTGGGGCATTTTGGTCCAAACATTTTATTTTAGATTAAAAAGGCCCCTAGCAGTTTATTTTAGGGTAAAAACCCCCAATTTTGGAATATTGACAGTTTTTTTTATTAATGATTTCCATTCACGTAGGGATCTTTTTACTCTAAAATGAAGTGTTCGGAGTCAAAATGTTTCAAAAAGAAAGAATAGAGATCAAACTGACTATTTAATCAAACGTGAAAGACATTTTTTGTCGTTATGTATAAATTTTTATCTTGTATGGTTTTTCTATACTCTGCACTGTATGATATGCGTTTAACTTGATATACATAAAATTCAGAATATGATGCATGTGACTTTGAATTGTAGGCACAAGATTTTAGGCAGCAAGGAACTAAGATGAAAAGAAAGATGTGGTTAGAGAACATGAAGATGAAATTGATTGTTTTTGGCATAGTCCTTGCGTTGGTTCTTATCATTGTGCTGTCAATCTGCCCTGGCTTCAAATGTTAAATTTGTGCTACTGCGTTGCTCACTGGGGTTGTTGTCTCTCCACTCTTGATAGATTGATCCATATTGATTCCTTCATTGTTTTTTATTGCACCTGTGTTCTCCCTTTGCTAGCCGTTCAGGACAGGGAGAGGCTTTTGCATCTCGGCCGTCTGTATAGGATAATATAGTTTCTACTTCTTACTTACTGTAGATTATTTTTTCTATCAACCATTTTCTTCTTTATGTTGTAAAGGAGAAATGCCATTTACCCCTTTGGAATATTAAACTAATGAGATGATCTTTGAGTTTTGGTTTTCAAATCGAACTTAATTGCCTTCCAAAACAAAGCTATGGCTGCTTCTGGATCCTTATCTACTAGCTGTAATACATACAGAACCCCAAATTAAGACCATTTTTCTTAAAAATGGTGCCGAATTAAGTAGTATGAATAAGCTCTAACAAAAGCACTTTGGTTAGAATTGATTTTTAATTTTTTTATTGGCATAACACCAAAAATACCCCTAATATTTGAATAAATAATCCTTTTGACTCTTATTCTTGTAGCATTTTGACCCTTGCATTTTATTTGGGGCAAAAAATAAACCTCTATGGAGGAAATCGTTAGTTAACCAAGTCAACAAATTATTAACACTTTAAATAGAAGTCTTATTATATTAAAATAAAATGTTGATGCCAAAATACTATAAAAAAAATATGGTCAAAGTGATTATTTAGTAACATTAAGAGTCTTTTTGCTCTAAAATGAAACAATACTCCGATAAAATATGATCAGACTAATTAACAATAACTTTATGATTACAAATAGATTAAACAAACAAGTCTTATTTAATCTATATTGGAGTTGCATGGAGGTGGTCTTTTACAGGTTTGCCCTTAATCTATATTTTCATGCTATACTCTCCTGTTAATAATAATTTGTAAAACTGTATTTGAACTGAAAAGTATACCATAATTAATGCCGTTTAATAGCAGCGATGATGGACAACAACAACAATAGAAGATATATTAATTAATAATCTGAAAGGAGGAAAATCATTAACAATATCTAACAAAACCCTGAACAACAATTAATCGAACATTCAAGGGCTTTTCAGTAATTTAAAAAACAATCCTAAAATAGAAATAAATCAAGAATATCAGGATGAATAATAATACCAAGACAACAGAACCGAAAGGCAAAATCCCAATCAACCGCGCATCGAGCAACGATTTATTGAAAAAATGAGGGATGAATACGTATAATTAGAAACATAATTCGATAAGAATCGACATACCTGAACATGTTTGGCTCGAACGTAAGGGCCGTTCCCAGGAGGAAGCTTGTGAAGGACGTGGTAAGGAGGCTCTTCCATATGTTTTTCTGTCTTCCATTTCTTCTGAGGAAACTGAGAAATTGAAGATTTCGGATATGTTTAAAGGAGTTTTTAGGTTTTTCTTTCTTCTCTCAATGGCAGAAGTGGAGAAAGACGAATGAGATTTTAAATAAATGAGCTGGTATGGGGGAAGAAGAGATGAACCTGGACGCGTTATCAGCCAAATTCATTTTGTTTTAGGACTTGATTTATGTTAGCCCATGCTGTAGGCTTTCTTTTAATAATTTATTAAAATATTTTATTGAATTTCAAAGATTTTACGAATGTCATAGTTATACAATAACGTTTAGGGTAAACTCATATTTAGTCACTCATTTATTCCTGAAATTCCATTTTAGTCACTCAACTATTTTTTTCAAAATCACATCTAACGTTAGGGGTGAGTAAAAACTTGTCTCGAGTCAAAAAATTAATTTTTTAAATCGAATCGAATTGACTTTGAGTTGTAATTTTACAAACATGACTTAACAAAATTTCAAGTTCAAATCGAGTTATAAAATACAACTCGAAAAACTCGAATGGTAGTTCAAATTTTTTAGTAATTAGTAGATTGATTTTCAAGGGGACTCATGATATATATTACATATAAAAAATATGAAGAAATATATATGTTTGTAAATGTGTATAAAAAATCATTTAAATTAGAATCAAATAATATCGTACTATTATGAATATTTACAATTAAATTTAAATAGAAACTCGAAAACTCGACTCGAAAAAAATTCAAATCAAGTTCAAATTATAAAATAAGACTCATCAACTCAAATAAATCAAAATTTTTTATTTAACTCGACTCTATCTAACGTTTACCCCTATCCAATGCTACGTCACTGACCGTTTAAAAATAAACATAACTTTAAATATTGAATCTTTTAATCACTTAGAATTTATTAATGGAGTGATGACATGGTATTTTAACTATTTTTCCTACTTTTGACTTTTCAACAGAGGATTCTTCAACCAAAGCACCCACAACTCCAAACATCACCAAAGCATAACTAACCCATAGCCATCAAAACCACCTCTGCAATGTTGTCTTATAAAAGTAGCAGCCAATAGCGGAATCATCACACCGACGACGAAAGCCAAAGTCGACGTCATCGCAGCTTGTACGGGTTTCAATAGTTTCTCATCTTTTCCACTTTCGGATGTCCTCTTTCATCTTTGATTCTTTAACTGACGCGACACCCATCATCAGCAACACGACGGAAACTAACCCGCTGTTGGCTTCCAAAACGGTAGCTCGAAGCCATGGTCCTCTCTGAGACTAAAACCAATGGCGAAGGAATGCGATCAAGGTTTGGAATCAACGCCGGGGAAGATGGGACGGCGTTGCCAGCCACCGCCACTTCTTTCCTAATGGCTACTACTCGTACTATCTTGTCCAATGACTACCCCACCCCGACAACGGTGATTCAACGGCTTAGAGAGAAACAAGCGAGAAAACATAAAATGTTGGTGTCATAACCGGTTTTCGTCCGGGCACGAAATATTTATTTTGACGGGGAAATTGATGTGAATAAATGGTTTTGAAAATAATTTGGGAGTCACCATCGGCCTTTTGGGTCAGGTAGGTCGAATACCTAAAAAATATCTTTTAAAAGAGTTTTTAAGAAAACATCAATTAAAAGATAAACTGATCTGTGTTTTAACCAAAAATTCGTTCTTTTTAATAATAAAAAGGGATTCGTGGTCGGTTACGTTTAGGGAAGGATTAGCACCCTACAACGCCCAAAATTGGTACTTTTTAATTATAAATTGTCTCTATTATTAAAATTTTAAAAATTCAAAAATATATTTAATTTATATTCTATTATTTCAAAATTATATAAAAAAAATATTTATTTATTTAAAAATATCAGAAAAGAACTTCTAGGTGCCTTAAGACAGCTCTTTTCTTTGATATTGATAAATATTAATTTAAATAATATTATTTACTTTTTAATTTTAAAATATCAGAATAGGACATCCAGTTGTATTAAGACTGTCATTTTCTTCGATATTAAAATAAATATTTAAAAATTACTATTTATTATATATATATTTATGAATATATAAAATATTTATTCATATAATAAAATAAAAATAAAAATACTACTAAAACAATATATTTAAAAACAATAAAATAAATGAAAACATATAAAATAACTGACTAAATTACAGTAAAAATAAAATTTAAAATCTAATTCATAATTAATCAAAATTATAGGGATTAAATATGTTATTTTCTTATTTAATAATTTAGTGACTAAAATAAAATCATCTAAAATTTGGATATTATAATAAAATAAATTAAAAATATAAACTAGGGATTAAAATATTATTTATTAAAATTAAGGGATTAATTCTATTATTTATCCTAAATATATTATTTTAATAAAAAGGACTAAAATGAATAAAATTGAAATTCGAAGACTGAATTAAAAATATTATAAAATCGATTTAGTGACTAAAATGTAATGTTTACAAATTAGGAGGACGGCGGACGGGTTTAACTATTATCTAATTACGCGCATAGTCCTTCCCGAAACGACATCGTTCGGGAAGGACTATAAAAGGTCCAAACCGGCTAGCCCGAAGGGCCAGTCTTCATTTCTACTTCTCCTCTCTCTCTCTTCTTTGAGAGAAAAAAATTTTCTCTCGCTTCTCTCTAGAACAGATAGAAGCCAGTCGGCCGGCAGCCGTCAGTCGGCGTTCGTCCGCCGTCAACCACCGCCGCCGGCCACCGTCTTCGGTGGCCGGAAATTTTTTTTTTACATCTAAACATAGATCGGACCGTCCTAATGACGGTTCCGATGCTCTTTTCCGTTAAACGGCTCCCAATTGGAGCAAATCTAAAAAGAATACCTTCGGTTTTTCGAAGGTTTTGATGAGATCCGGCGTTTGGCTTCCTCGGTAAGTCTTTCTCTTCATTTTTCTTTCTTTTATGTTTCTTTGCTGCTGATTGTTGAGATCGTTGGTAGTTTTTAGTATCTAGTTTCTTTGTATCTCTCTCGGTTTCCTGTGTAGTCTCTGTCTCTCTGTTTTTTTTTCCAGGTTCGGGTGGTGGCTTTTATAGCCACCACCGGTGTGGCCATCGGACCGGTCCGAAGAGGGGGTCTCGGTGAGTCACCGGACTGCCAGTGGTGACTCACCCCGTAGCTATGGCGTGGACGGCTGGTGTTCTAGCTTCTGGAGTCTTCGGTTGGGACGTGGCAGCGGCGGAGGCGGCGAAAGAGTGTCGGCAGCCGCGTGGCCCTAGGGTATCAGACCCTAGGGTTTCCATCTGGAGCCATCTGGACCGTTGGATCTTGCCAGATCCAACGGCAGCAAGCTGAGGCGGCTGGTTAGATTAGGGTTAGGAAACCCTAACTAAAACCCCCAAATGTTTAGGGTTTCTGGTTTGATCTGGACCGGTTCTGGTTTGTTTGTAACTGGGCCGGTCCAGTTGTAATTGGTCTGTAATTATTATTTATATATGTATTTAATATATTTAATAATAATAATAATAATGATAATAATAATAATAATAATAATAATAATAATGATGATGATGATAATAATAATAATAATAATGATAATAATAATAATAATAATAATAATAATGATAATGATATGGGTAAAAAATTAGTATCTTCAGCTGCCCCTCTTTGCTCATTCTTGTGTTAACAAGAACAGGGCAAAGATGAAAAGATAATAAAATTTTTTATCCATTTGGCTTCACTTGATCATAATGGAGATATTGAATAAATTCTTCTCTTTCTTCAGATGAGTTCTTCTCATTATGAACTTTCTGCTGGGGATGATACTGACCTCTTTCTTTCTGTGATAGAGTCATTCAAAAGGTTGAATAATCTCTTGATGAGTTCTTCTCATTATGAACTTTCTCTAGAAAGGCTGATGCTAATCTATCTCCTTCTGCGATAGAATTATGCAAAAAGTTGAACAAGTTCTTCTTATTATGAACTTCTTCTTTCTTCTTCAGATGAGTTCTTCTCATTATGAACTTCTCCGGAAAAGATAATCCATCAATTGATGAATTCAGGTAAAAGGTTGAACAAATTCTTCTAATTATGAACTTCTTCTTCCTTCTTCAGATGAGTTCTTCTCATTATGAACTTTCTCTGGAAAAGATGATCCCTCAAATGATGGATTCAGGTAAAAGGTTGAACAAATTCTTCTCATTATGAACTTCTTCTTCCTTCTTCAGATGAGTTCTTCTCATTATGAACTTTCTCTGGAAAAGCTGATCCCTCAAATGATGGATTCAGGTAAAAGGTTGAACAAATTCTTCTCATTATGAACTTCTTCTTCCTTCTTCAGATGAGTTCTTCTCATTATGAACTTTCTCTGGAAAAGCTGATCCATCAAATGATGGATTCAGGTAAAAGGTTGAACAAATTCTTCTCATTATGAACTTCTTCTTCCTTCTTCAGATGAGTTCTTCTCATTATGAACTTTCTCTGGAAAAGCTAATCTTTCAAATGATGGATTCAGGTAAAAGGTTGAACAAATTCTTCTCATTATGAACTTCTTCTTCCTTCTTCAGATGAGTTCTTCTCATTATGAACTTTCTCTGGAAAAGCTAATCTTTCAAATGATAGATTTGAATCTTTGCTAAAATCTTTGAAATTCCTGTTAAAAATTCAACAAGAATAAAAATGAATGAAAATGCACATATTTTTGTAAACACCTAAAATATGATGCATGAATGTTAAGTTATTTGATTTCAGATTGGTGAATTGAATATTTCTTCAATTGTAAAAACCCAATAGATCTTTTTTTTTCAAATCAAAGAATATATCATCTTGACAAATGTAGATGTAGATATAATGTCACAAAACCTCTTGAGAATAAACTCAATAGTATAGGCTCTTGAAAAGCTTGCATTCAGGCAACATGTTGATTCTGATAACAATTCATCTGATTATGAAGTGACCTTTCAAGATGATTTCACAGATATCGATAGTTCTTCTAATACCGAGAAATCTTGAATTCTGATTCTGATGAGGAGAATAAACTGTTATACTTGACAAAAATGGGATTCTCATGGGCTGAAACTTCAATAGCCCTGGAGAAATGTGGTCCAGATTCATCAATTGCAGAATTGGCAAATTTTATATGTGCTGCTCAAATGACTAAGGCTGCTGATGCACTTCTTCTGGTAAAAAATAGGAAGTCATTATGCA